AAGAAGACTGCCCGTTTGAAAAATAGGCAGAAGAATTTGAAGACATCACCAAAGATATATGGGCATCAAATGAGCACCTGAAAAAAACATTTAATATCTTTAGATATTAAGGAAATGCAAATTCAAAACACAGTGAGATACCACTACATGCTCACCAGGATAACGAAAAGTAAAAATATTGGTCATTCCAAGTATTTTCAAGGATGTGGAGCAACTCGAAACTCATGTAGCCACCTGGGAGTGTAAAATGGTATAACCACTTTAGAAACAAGTTGGCAGTTTCTTAAAAAGTTACACATTCACCTACTATATGATCCAGGTTATTTACCTTTATTGAATGAAAACGTATGTCCACACAAAGACTTATACACTTAGTTTATTTTTATTGCAGCTGTATTTATAATATTAAAAAACTGGAAACAACCCAAGTGTCAGCAGGTAAATGAATAAAACATGGTAGTATATTCATACAACCCAGGTTATTTACCTTTACTAAATGAAAGCGTATATCCACACAAAGACTTAAACAGTTAGTTTATTGCAGCTTAATTATAACAGTAAAAAACTAGAAATGGCTAAAACATAAAACATGGTGGTATACTCATTTAACCAGATAGTTGGGGGTCTGCCTTGGCAGTAAAAAGGCAAGACTGATCTTCAGCAAAGAAGATAAATGGGTGTAACCAAAGGTGTAAAGGGTTGTCAGGGTCAGATAATGAGCACTGTGTGGGATAATGAACTTAAGTTCTACAGGAATTACCAAGGATATTTGACTTAATTTTTAAAATAGATTTTTAATATTAATGAGATAATTTAACAACATTGAAGACATTTTAAAAAAAGTTACCCACAATTTTACTTTAACAATTTAGGTTTCTGTTTTTCCCACTTCCATCAGAGTCTTTAACTTGAGGGAGCACACATGATCAGATGTATGTCTCAGAAAAATAAATCTGCTAGAGTGACAGGAGGAGCAAGGCCAGGGGTATGGATGAAGGTGAGCCATGGTAATGGAGAACTGTAAGGTGGAGACCGACTTGGGAGACAGAGGAAGAGGAACCCCTGAGTTTGGGGATAGAAGGGAGAGAATCTGAAATAATTGATTTATAACTTGAACAACAGGATAATTAGATGCAATTTATCTTGTTAACTGATACAACTAATCAATGTTCATCTCATCCTGACCCACCTTTGTACCTTAAGAGTGCTAAGGCCCACCTGCTTCCTGCCTCTGAAGAAACATTGTTTCACCAACTGCTATTTCTTTCCCCTCTTCTAACCAATTTTCAGATTCTTCCTCCACGATGGCTGAAAACTGCTTACTGTAGCTAAGTAGTATTCAGAAAGTTATTCTCCTGTGTTTGGGGGCTTTATTGCAAATCAGAAGCACCTCTATTAAATGATAACCTCTAGGAGAGAGAGAGCAAGTAGAGCAATCAATCTGCACCCAGTTTTACGTTGTTTGAACATTCCTGCACGGACACTATTTTGGTGATTTAGAAGGCTGCAGCTCTGAGCAACTGGTGATTGGCAGCTTCATCATGACAGTGTGCCCGCTCATACATCATGTCTTGTGCAGAGTTTTTTCGAGAAACATCAAATCATCCAGGTGACTCAGCCTCCCTACAACCCAGATATAGTGCCCTGAAACTTCTGGCATTTCCCAAAACTAAAAACACTTTGAAAGAGAAGAGATTTCAGACCGTCGATGATATTCAGGAAAATACAATGGGGCAGCTGTTGGCAATTGGGAGAACTGTGTGAGGTCCCAAGGAGCCTACTTTGAAGGGGACTGAGGCGTCATTATACTATGTACAACGTTTCTTGTATCTTCTTCAATAAATGTCTCTATTTTCATATTAACGTGGCTGGATACCTTCTGGACAGACCTCACATACATTCAGTGGACTTTTGAGTGGTTTCAACTTTTTGTCTATTGTGAATAATGCTGCTATGAACATGGATGTACAGATATCTGCTTGGCCTCCTGCTTTCATTTCTTTTGGGTATATACACAGAAGTGGTATTGCTAGGTCATATGGTAAATTCCTTGTTTAATCTTTTGAGGAACAGCCAATACAGTTTTACACAGCTCCTGCACCATTTTTAATTCCTACCAGAAATACACAAGGATTCACTTTCTCCACATCCTTACCAACACTGGTTATTTTTGTTTGTGTGTGATTGTTGTTTTTGTTTTTTACTTTTTTCTTTTTTAATTTTTAAAAAGATTTTCTTTATTTTTAGAGTGGGAGGGAAGGAGAAAGAGAGGGAGAGAAACATCAGTGTGTGATTGCCTCTCGCACCTCACCTACTGGGGACCTTTTGTGACTTTGTTTCCCTGGGCTGGAACACTGGGTTGCATGGTCTGTCTCAGTCCCTAGTTGTTCCTCCCAGTTTATCTGCATGTGAATGTGGGACCACTTGGTTTGTCAGCCACAGCCTTGCCCTCCTCGGTCCACCAGCCACTGCCTTGCTGCCCAGCTGCCCATCTCTTCCTACTGTCAGTCTGAATGAATGTTTCTTCTTTAACTCCTTGGTGGTTGAACTTCCATGCAGTTTTGATTTTCTGGCAGTTGTGGTTATTCTTTGTTTTTAAATTGGTTGTTATCCTTCTTTTGGTTGTGTGGGGAGGCAAAATATATCTACCTATGCCTCCATCTTGGTCAGAGTGTGTTTTTTCTTTTTTTTTTTTTTTAATAGTAGCTGTCCTAATAAGTGTGATTGATCTCTTTTGAGATGAGGTTTGGGAAATTGAAAGAGAGCATGGGAAGTGGATGGCTGACTCTGTTTTTTTATAGTGCTTAATGTGTTTGTGTGTGTATAATAAAAAGTAAAACAAATTTATGTTTCAAAAACTAGCTGTGGACACATGAAAAACAGTGCTCAGAGGAAAATTTGTAGTTGTAAATGTCTATGTTAAAAAAAAAAAAGATCTCAATCAGTAATCTAACACTGACCTTAAGGAAATAAAAAATAAATAAATAAATAGCCCTGGCTGGCGTAGCTCAGTGGATTGAGCGCAGACTGCGAACCAAAGTGTCGCAGGTTCTATTCCCAGTCAGGGTACATGCGTGGGTTGCAGGCCATGACCCCCAGCAACCGCACATTGATGTTTCTCTCTCTTTCTTTCTCCCTCCATTCCCTCTCTAAAAATAAATAAAATCTTTAAAAATAAATAAATAAATGAATGAATGAATAAATTAAATCCAAAACTAATCAAAACCACAGTGAGATAGCACTCTAAATACTCTTTAAGAAGGCTGTAATTTTTTTTAAAAAACTGAAAATAGGTGTTGGCAAGGATGTGTTAAAATTGAAACTTTACACATTGCTGGTAGGATTGTAAAATGGTACAGCTATTGTGTTTGTTGGTTCCTCAGTAAGTTACACATGAAATTCCCATGTGACATGTCAGTTCTACTAGTTACATACCTAAAATAATTGAAAAGAAGTGTTTAAACAAAAATTTGTACACAGTTCTTTATATGGCAGCACTACTCAAAATACTCAAAAGATGGAAACAACCAGATGTGCATTATGGATGAATGAATAAACAAAATGTGGTATATTCATATATACAATGGAATGTTTTCAGCCATAAAAAAAAATAAATTACTCCTACATGCTGCCACATGGATGAAACCTGAAAACATTGTGCTGAGTGAAATAAGCTGGACACAAAAGATCATATGTTGTTTGACTCCATGTATATGAAATACTTGGAATAGGCAAATGTACAGAGAGAATGCAGGTTAATGGTTGGTGAGGCCTAGGGGACGGACAGAAGGAAGGAACGAATGGGGATAATGACTGCCTAATGAGTGAGTATGGGTTTCTTTCTGGGGTGGTGAAAGTGTTGAGTGACTGAATAACAGTGATAGGTTCCACAACATTGTAAATATACTGAATAGTACCTTTATAAATGGTTAAAATGGTCAATTTTATGAGTATTTTCCACAATATTTTTTAAGCTATAAAACAATAAGAAGTCACCGGTTTGGCAGACTAGCACTAGACCCCATGACCAGTGTGTGATATTAGCACAATTTGGGCGGGGGTGGGGGGAAGGGTGTTGTACCTTATGTGAAAAATTTCCTAATAAGTTTAAAAAAATAAATAGAATAGGTCTCTACTTTCCTCTCTTTGGAGTCATTTGGTCTCAAGTAGGGTCTAGGAATCTCTATATTAAGGAAACACTTCATAGAACTATGATGTAGGTGCCCCTATTTCCTTATTCATGTCAAAATGCAATGTCATACCATCATGTATGGAACACTTCAGGGTGCCAGATAGTTTAGGCTCTATACATAAAAGTTTTTTACTCTGTGCTTTTATGAAGAGAAGCAAACAAACAAATACGAGATTGGCCATGTTGAAAAATTAGATTTTGTTGTGTGTGTGTGAGAAAACTGGGTCAAAAAATTCAAAACTATTCTTTATTTCCAATTCTAAATAACCTTAGCCCTTGAGTATATGTGGCTGTTTTATATTGTGACTTCCAATCTTCCTGCCCATTCTAACTTACCCATAATGTTTATTCCAGTCCTTCTACTATATAAATTTAAAAAGCAGAAGTTACTTTGTATACTTACGATTTATTAATATAGAATAACATGCTAACTTTTAACATTTATGATTTCTAGGATTTCTAATTAAATTTCAACAGAACCTGAACTATTAATGAAAATCAGTGATGTGACGGATTTGTGGTTTAATTTAAAGTGCAACTTAAAATTGTGCTTTAAAGCTGCTACGTGTGGAAAGCTAACCATGTAAGCTAGAGAATGATGTAGCTGCAATTTAGCAACTTAGCATATAGCTTCTCTGTAAGTTTGTTCTGAGATTAAATTTTGAGACAAGAATATTGTTACACTGTATATCAGAGGGAACTATTTGCTTACTAGTTTCAAACACTAATGATTTAATTTTTTTAAACTCTAGTCTTTGAGAAATATTTTGATGTTTGATATAAAAAATGTTTTCTTAACCACCTCTAGGTCAACCAGGCATTCGAGAAGCTATTTCCATGTCCTGTATAACCAATGGGAGTGGAGCAAACAGAAAACCAAGTCATACCAGCTCTGTCTCAGTTGCCAGAAAAGAAACATTTTCATCTGCTGCTAAAAGGTATCCTTTTGTAAGTGGAGTGGGAGGTGGAGGGAGTTGTGGGGGGAGAGCTAACATTTTTAAATGGTTGAACGTGTTAACTCAGTCTACTTCTGAAACAAATATGCAATGGGGATGGAATCCTTTGAATTTTTTAACTCTGAATATAGAGATATGCAGCTATACTTAGTTTGCATTTATTGTACCAGTGGAGTTGTGTGAGACAGCTTTTGGTTTTTACTAAAAAAAAAGAAAGCAGTTGCATTTCCTGGTTTTGTTTTATTTCTTTTTAATAAGCATTTGTGATGAGATGAGCATCTCTGTGTTTAATGTAATTACATAAGTGAATTTTCCATAGCAAGTGATACATTTGATACTGCAACTTATTTATGTATTTAGTAGTACAGTGGACATACAATATATTAGTTTCAGGTGTATGACATAACAATTCAGCATTTATATACCTTAGGACATGATAAGTCTAGTAAACATCTGTGACTTGTACACACTTATTAAGGTATTAATGACTGTATTCCCTATACTGTATATTACATCCCTGTGATTTATATTTTACAACTGGAATTTTGTACTTTTTTCACCCAACCTTGCACTCACCCTTCTTCCTTCTAGCAGCCATCAGATTGTTCTCTGTATCTGAGTTTTTGTCTGTTTTTGTTTTTTTAGTTCCACATAAAAATGAAATCATACAGTGTTTGTCATTCTCTGATACATCTTTTTTAAAGGAGAAATAGAATCTTTGCTATGTATCCTTATTAGCTAAACACTATTATAACTTTTATTCTTTAACCGTGACTATAAAACTAAGGCTTAACTCAAAATATTATAGTAGTATGTGGTGTGTATGTTTGTGTGTGTTACGAGAGAGGGCAGTGGAAATACTGTAATACGAAAGTTTCTGTGGGTTACAGAATTACATCCTGTATGTTCTTTTCATCAGTTATGCTTTTGTGTAATTCCTAGCAAATTATTCCATATACAGTGTGGAGAGACCACAAAAGATCAACTACATACTGTTAGAGCTGTCTTCTTCAAAGAATGATTGAGGACCTTAAGTAATAGAACAATATATTAAATGTACTGATAAAAAATTATTGCCTCAATAAACTAATGCCGGTGACTGAATTACTCACCAGTATGGCTAGAAGGTACCCATTTGTAAACAGTGTGGGAGGTGGAGGGAGTTGGGGTGAGGTGGGTGAAGCTAACACCATTCCCATTGACCAGGAACTGTGAAGCAATGGCAAGATCTTTAGGCCTTTTAAAATCCCATTCTGTAATGACAATGAAGTCATTGTCATTACAGAATCTAGACTTTCTCCTCCAAAGCATGCCAAAATTTACTGTCTGTGCTCCACTTTCAGGAAAGAAAAAGGCAAATTATAAGAAAACAAACGCAAAGTGGAAATTTTTAATACAATTTTTGATGCAAGATAGGCTGAATCTAAACTATTACTGGGTATGACTTGTACCTATTTTCTTACACAGCTATATTTCTGTGCAGTGATCCATATTACACATGATAGTGACTTAGTAGCCTAACACTGAGTTTGTTACTTTATTATGCAGGGGTTCTACAGTACAGACATACCTTGGTACTCGTCAGCTTCAGAACTACTCGTCAAAGCCTGTATTTGTCGCAGTTTGATGAGAACAAAATTGTTTCATCACTTGGCACTAGCTTGGGACTTGCTAGAACTTGTATGAGTTACCACGCCTCCCCTCAAGAGAAAATGCTTCATTATTCAGTACTGATAGGTTTCAGCACTTGTCATGAGTTCCAGAATGATTTAACGAGTACCAAGGTGCTTTTGCTTTTAAATAACCCAGGAGGAAAATATCTTTTGGGTTGTACCGGGCCCACATAAGATTAGTGACCTGTGCAATAAGGACAGTTTGAAGAACAAGAAAGAAGCAATTTCTAACCCACATATAAATTTGAAAGTCTGATATTTTTGAGGTAGAATTGTATTTCTCAGCACATATTTTAAAAAACTGAACATGGAATAGACAGTCAAGGGCCAGTCTGAAGATATCAGAACTGAATCAGATTAAGAAATGTCACTGTCAAAATTATATTTTTAGCATTTTAAACTATTATAATGTAATAAATTTTACATACTATGTATATTTGTTCAAAATGTTCTTAAACATGCTTTCTTGTAGATTATGCACCTTATAGTCAAATTACAAAATGTCCTTTGATTAGGATGTGTATAGAGTTGATAATTTCATACCTTTTCAGTTCTGGAATTCAAGCTTTTGACTCTGTCTGTTTTGTGGTATCGTTAAAGTGTGCAGTATGAAGATTCTTATCCCGTGTGATTGGGAATAGCAGGTGCTTTGTTAATCAAGAGTGCAGAATCATAAGAATTCATACATATTTTATTTTAACATGAAATGTGTTCTCATATATTTATTTATCAATGTGAATGAGTTTTGCGCCTCTTTCTATGTATGCATCTCATTAGATTCCTTGTTGATGATCTTGAATAAAGTATAACCGTAAATCATTTTTTATATTTTTTTAGTTTCATTTTTTTAAAAACAAAGACATTTAAAACTCTACAAAACAATATGATTAATAATCCATATCTTTCTGTATGATTTTTACCCCACGATCTTTTTTATAATTGCCTCACTTATATAAAACATAAGGGCAAGTTTTTTAGTAACTCATTTTTATGAAGTCTTTCCAGAGCATTTAACCTAGTGTTCATAGAAATTACAATTCTTTTTTATGTATACTTTGTCAGTTTTCTTTGTATTTAATTACAATTAAAATAGCAAATACAACTGGTGTAAACAGATTCGGGGAAAAACACAGTGGACTCTTGGTAAGCTTAGAACTCAACTGGCAGGAGTAGAAGTGTACAGAAGAAATGGGAATTAGAGAATAACCTACTAAATGTGATCATTCCGTGTGCTTGGGTGTCAGTATGTAGTACAGAGGTAATGGAAAGTGTCACTAACGCTCTCATTTGGGTAAGTTGAAGTCAGATCTTCTGTTGTCCCCCCAAATCTGCTAGGATGGCAAATGCCTTAGAAGTCATTTTGATCCAAATGGACAATCTTCATAGATATATTACCCTATTATTCTTAAATTCTTCACTGAAGATTTTAATAGCTTCCAGAATTTTTAAAGAAACATCTTCATTATTGACTGAAACCAGTGTAAATTGTATTAGCTATATGAGTTAGGATTTCGAATTATATGATAATCACTTTTCCCATCATTTGATATATATCTTTTTTTGTTTAAATTTGTGTTGTTCCATGTTATACTTTATTTTACAGTGGTACAGAAAAAAAGAAAGAAAAACCACAAGGACAGAGAGAAAAAAAAGAGGAATCTCATTCTAATGATCAAAGTCCACAAATTCGAGCATCACCTTCTCCCCAGCCCTCTGCACAGCCTCTCCAAATACCCAGACAAACTCAAGAAAGCAAGAATTCTGCTCCCACCAAAAGGTTTTAACTGTCCCTGAGTTCAGAGATAGGGCATGGTTGTAATGATACCTAAATTCTATGACACGAGGAAAAGCTGACTATCCATGGGTTCCAGGAAAAAGCCTGATAGCTTTTATTTTTCCTTTTTTGTTGCTATCATCTTTATTTTTTAGGACATTGGGAAATGAAGATTTAAGGTCAGAATTTCTCAGTTAAAACTGAGGGAAAAAACTAAGTTTTAAACAGTTTGATGAAAGGAAGGCAGAAATAACTTACTCTAAGACCCAAACATATTTTCCTAGTAAAATTAAAATTATAGAATATTTTAAAATTTTATATAACTATGCATAAGTTTATAGCCATGGATAGAAAATTGCAATATGTAATTATCCTCTTCATGTTTTGGCATCATTACAACCTTCGATTTTCAAGGGCCCCTGTCAACACATGGCTCTTCATTGTGACTGCATCTCAGTTTTAGTTTTGGGTTTTAGGAGGATAAGTTCTTGCTTGAGTAGAGAAATGAATCCATTTTACTTGGTCTTTTCTATGCTAAAGGCTTGCTTGAGGGCTTCTCTCTGTGTCTATAATAATTAATATTTTAAAGTTATGAGAGGGGGAGAATGGAAAATCATTCTAACAATGTGTGTAAGCCTAAATTGGGTATCTAAACCTGCATGCTGGAGTTCAGTGCTACAGCTGCCTTTTGTAATCAAATATTTAGACCAACTTAATGAAGTTTGCCAGCTTTAGAAATGCTGATTTCAGCTGTATGAATAGGTACAGTTATATGGGAGTGGGCAAAAGTAGGTTTACAGGTGTTCATATGGAAAATAATACAATAAATAATGATACAAGAATACATTGTTTCACATACAACCGTAAACCTACTTTTGCGCACCCTTGTGTTTTATCATACTGATACTTGGAAATCTTAGGAAAATATTAAACCATTCCCAGAACTGGCTAGAGTTTTGGTAAAATAAATGATAACTATTCCTAAAAGATTTATAATGTTTTGTATTTAATCAGTTTAATGTTTTGCTTCAAATCACTAATGGAAATTTGGGAAAACAAAAAATTTTTCATTTGATGCATGTTTAACATTTTAAAAATGCTTTGTCTGTGTTGCTCACACAAATTCTTCTGCCTGGTCTCATGTGGAGTTTTTCTTGGATATAGCTTATTAATGTTACGCATCTTTGAAGTGTGTGTGGTTAAGGGTGGCCTGTTTTTACAATGAATTTCTTAAAGGTTCTGATTTGACTTGAATACCTCCTTTGTCCCAGATCTTCTTTTCAGCTAATTAAGATCTCTTGGAAATGTGCTTGCCATTCTAAATTGCTCTTTGGACATGCTATTGCGAGAAGTCTTAAAGACTGGATGAGTTATAGGATTGTTAGCAATGCATCCAAAAACTCACTCATAAATCAAAACATTTCAGTTATAAATAAATGAAATTAGTGTTGATAATACGACATTCTTCTGTTACATTGTGTTTATTTCTGGTCACAGGTAAAATTGCCTCTAAAAGATACAAACCAGAGTTTTACTTTTAGTCCTATGGTTTATTTAGAAATTGTCGTCTGTACCATATATGAGACCATAAAAATGAAAATAGCAGCTTTGTAATGACTGATGAGAGAGCACAGGTTTTTTTTCCTACAAATTCACAGTTTCACAAACTGAGAAATAGTGCTAAGTACTTGGAAATTTGAACAAATGGGGTGTTTTCAATTAACAACAAAAAAGTACAGGTTTTTACAAATACTTGTTCTAATGAATCTCCTGAATAATAGTGACAACTATAAAATAGACTTGGGTAATGGCCTTGCTTAACTCCTTCACTCATCCAGGCAGAACCTTTCAACTAATCCTTCCTTCTCTTTTCTGGATTAGCTTTAAGGAAATGTTAATTGCTGCTTTTGTGTTCTATATAAACTGTCAATTACCTGTCATTGCTACTTGCAGAATTTTTCTCTAAGAAATCAATGTTTCTTCCAGCATAAAACGACCACCAACAGCTGAAAAGTCACATAATTCATGGGAAAATTCAGATGATAGTCGTAATAAATTATTGAAGGCAGTTTCAACCTCAAAAATAATATCAAAAGTTATAAAAAATACAGACAAGTAAGTATTACACTTTCTCAGTTACATCTAAAAATTAATTATGTGGCTTATCATGTTTGCATGTCCAACTAAATGCCTTGTTTGAATTATTTTTTTAAAAAACCTATGTTGTAGACACAGACAACAACATGGTGATAAGCAGAGTCAGGAGGGGTGGGGGAGGTATAAGAGGGTATAGGCAGGATAAATGGTGGTGGAAGAAGACTTGACTTGGCGTGTGAACACAATACTGTATACAGATGATACAGACTTGTACACCTGAAACCTATATAATTTTATTAACCAATGCCTCCCCAATAGATTCAATTAAAAAATAAAAGGCTATGTTAGAATTTATCTTTTTTTTCTCCTAAGTGTATTTTTTCTTTAAAATGTTCTAAAAAGGGGGCTACATTTTCATGTAAATGCTCCTCAACTAAAATAGTAAAGCTAATGATCCCATAAAGTTTGAATATTTTTGTAAGTTGTTTCTAATGCTTTCACTATTTACTTGATTTTATGAAATATCCATTGTTTTATAAAATAGTGGTTGAGACCAGTGAGAAGCTTTTTAAAATGCTGATGCCTAAGTTTCACTTCTAGAGATTTAATTGGGGTATGGCAATTGAAGCTTTTGCATTTTATTCAGGTGGTTCTAATAATAGTCAGCCAAATACAATTATAAAATAAATGTCTTTGAATTTCTTTTGTAGGCATAAAGATGTCATCGTCAACCAAGGTAAATTAAAACTCCTATTAAAAAATATTTATGTTGCTTTTCTATATCAGTTAAATTTTTGCTAATTGATAAGTATGTTGACTATTTTCATTCAGTGTACTTTATCAGCACATAGTAATTAAAGAGAAGTACGTTACTATAGTCATTTAAGAAAATGCCCAATATGTATTGTAGAATAGGTCACTTTTGTCTCAACCAGCAAAAAAAACCATCAACCCCTGGTGGGGGGGGGGACAGCCAAGATAAGAATGAGATACACAGTTAGTCACCTTCTGAGATAATTTCTTCCTAGATCTTTTATTTGGCTTTTTGTTATTTATATTACCCAGCTTTCCTCTTAATAAAGGAAATACCTGAATGGTAATTTGAACTAGTGAGTCCAACTACTTTTCTAAAAATCCATCTTCTGTGAGCTCTGAAGGTTCAAGGTCTACAGTAGAAATAAATACATCATTACAAAAAGGTATAAAATACTAAGGGGAATTTACCTTTTTAAAAACAATAAAAATTCTACTTAGAAAAGCCATTTAAAGAATTGATACATTTTGCCCTGGCTGATGTGGCTCAGTGGATTGAGCGCTGAACTATGAACCAAAAAGGTCGCTGGTTTTATTCCCAGTCAGGGCACATGCCTGGGTTGCAGGCCAGGTCCCCAGTTGGGCACGTGGGAGAGGCAACTGATCAGTGTATCTCTGGTGCATCAATGTTTCTCTCCCTCTCTTTCTCCCTTCCTTCCCCCGTCTCTTAGATAGATTGACAGGTAGATAGATCAAAAAGGTTGATAAATTTTAACTCAATTTCCTGTCTTGCCAACTTCATTGCAAATAATTACTCATTTCTTGAAGCTTAGACTGAAAATATGAGTCTAGCAAATCCATTTCCTCTTAAATTTTTTATATTAATTGTAACTTCTGGCTACTTGCTGTTGTTGACTTGTTCTGACCAAAAAAGGAGAGACTTTCTGTAAATGTGTATTTAATTTAATTGCAAAATGGGCAAGTTTTATACATCAGTATTATATTCTTAGATTGATTGCAAGTTTAATTGAAGTATGCTCTCTAAATGAAAGCATGTTGTCCTTTTTGTGCATGCTTTTTGCTGGTCATTACTATGTATCATAATTATCTTTACTTTTTGGCTGTTACATTAACCAGATATAATACAGTTAAAATTTTTGTTAGAGATTTAACCTGATTCCTGTGGATTTTTACTTTATTTGGTTTTAGTAAGAAAAGAAATAATTATTTGTACTCTTCTTTGGATTATTTGTTTTCACATAGAAATTTTAAATGAAGTTGATTTTAACTGGCATTCTTCATCTTTAGTTAGGTCTTTCTCCTTTCATAATTAAGTATATAGACTAAGTAATGGTTGAAATGGTTTAAGGAAAAAATTAGATTTTATTTACAAAGGCAATTCTTATTACTACACATCAAAACATTTTTTAAAAACAGAAGTAGTGGTTCCCTGGCTGGCGTGGCTCAGTTGGTTGGAGCATCATCACACAGACCAAAAAGTCATGGGTTGGATTCCCAGTCAGCACTTACCTGGGTTGTGGGTTTGATGTTTCCCTCTCACACATCTCTCTCTCTTCCCTCCATCCACCCCCGCCCCACCCGCCCCAAAGTGATGAAAAAATGTCCTTGGATGAAGATGTTTAAAAAAGAAAAAAAAAACAACAACAAGAAGCTGTGATAGGTAGTGAAAAGAGCAGTGAATGGAGAATCTCGATGTTTAGTGTTTGTTTTGGCTCCTCTAAATAATAACCTTGTGACTTAGGCAAAATGACTGTGTCTCTTAGAGTTTTCTAATCTGAAAATAGTAACTATAAAGCAGGGGTGTCCAACCTTTTGGCGTCTCTGGGCCACATTGAAAGAAGAGTTATCTTGGGCCATTCATTAAACACACAAACACTAATGAAAACAAAAAAAAATTCATAATATTTTAAGTAAATGTATGATTTTGTGTTGGGCCTCATTCATAGGGACACCCGCATGGCTGCTGAAGGATCAAATTATATATGTGTATGTACATGTGTGAATGTACTTTAAAAATAGAAGAGACTGTAATTATAAGAAGTTACTATTACAAGTTTTGCTAAAGAGCTTAAATTTTATAAAATCCTTATAGGGTAAATGGCAAAGGGCTCCCTGCCTCTTTCTCATGTTGTGCTATGTTCTTTGGAAGGAAAAGGAACTTATGATTCATGTGTAAGTGAGTGGTTTGAATTGGTGACAGTTTTCAATACTGTGTGGGCACGTAGGTAAATAAATGTATTTAAAAGGGAAATACTTTGTTATTGAAGCATCACTAAGTAGGGTTTTAACGCCAGTGTCTGGAAGGGATAGAATGAAAAACTGGGAAAAGATGTAGAAGTATGAGTTAAATTCTGCTATAAGAATTTTAATGCAAAAGGATTGTCCCAGATGTTTGAACTTAATATCAGTGGTTGCTTGCAGTTAGCTTTATTTTGGAATTTTAATCTATTCCTTTGCCAGTTTAATGAGTTGTATTCTACCTGCTGTATACTCTTAACACTAGAGTGTATCTTTAGGGAGAACTCTTGTGCTTCAGCCTGTTAGGTAGTTCAGGCCTGACTGAAATTGAGACAGAGTCTATGGAAAGAAGTGAATGGATTCTAGACGGTTTAGGAATAGGTGAAGTGGAAGAGATAAGGAACAGAAGGGAATTTATGAAAGCTAGTTTGAGCAACTAGGTAAGAGACATCTACTAAAATAAGGAACATTTGAGGAAAAAGTAGATGTATGGAAAAGAATAAGAGTTTGGTTTTGGACAGTTAACTTGAGTTGTCTTAATCTACCTTGCAGCAAGCAAAATAGTGTAGATGTTTAAACACATGTGTTTTGGAGTCCAGAAACTGGATTCACCATTACTTAGCTGTGTGACCTTGCAGTAACTTCATCTTCCGTCTTCTTAAGTTTTTTGTTTTCTCATCTATAATTGAGACAGTAATAAACCCTCAGAGATAATAAAGTTTTTAAACATAGTACCTGGCACATAGTACCAAATAAAGTTTAGTTATCTGAATCTGGCTGTAAATCTTTGCACTCAAATGTATAAAGTAGGATGAAAAGATGGCCATCAAATAGATGACCTTCACTTGCATAGCACATTTCACAACACATTTACTTACACTTTAGGTGTTGATCCAAAGTATGTGTAATTTATGAACAGTCTTTTTTAAAAAGATTTTATTTATTTATTTTTGGACAGAGGGGAAGGGAGGGGAGAAAAGGAAACATCAATGTGTGGTTTCCTCTTGAATGCCCCCTACTGAGGGGGAGGACCTGGCTGGAAACCCAGGCATGTGCCCTGACTGGGAATTGAACTGGGAACCTTTCGGTTCTCAGGCCAGCACTCAATCCACTGAGCCACACCAGCCAGGGCCGTGTGATCAGCCTTTTAAAAATATGATTTATTAGTGTCCCAGGTTCGATTCCCAGCCAGGGTGCATTCCTGGGTTGCAGGCCATAAACCCCAGCAACCGCACATCGATGTTTCTCTCTCTCTCTCTCTCTATCGCCCTCCCTTCCCTCTCTAAAAATAAATAAATAAAATATTTTAAAAAAATAAATAAATAAAATAAAAATATGATTTATTGATTTGTTTAGCTCTTTTTGGGGAGGGAGGGGGCGATGACAAGTATGACGTGTTCCAAATCACCTGCTTTGATTTGGGAAAAAGCCTATTTATATTTGGCATATTTAGGTGAGTGGTAGCAGGGAAAACTTTACCTTAAAGGTCTGTGTCCTGCGACCACAGCAGAGTAGAATAGCTGTAAATTGCTGATCAGCACTTGGACAGAAGGAAGGAAACCTGAATGAAAGCAGTTAGAGGTGGAATGGGATGTACACAGGGCAATTCCTGAGGCTAAGTATAGGTGGAAGGACAGGTTATACTACTAAAAGAGGCTCTTACTGACTTAGATCTTTATCTACATTCAAATCCCAGAAGCCTAAACCCTTTTCATTACTCTTTTCTCTTTTTTTGGTGGATTCTGCTCCCATCTCAAGAGAAATAAAGACTTAGCATGTCAGGTTAAACTGAATAAGTTCTGTGGGAGTGTTTATTGTTAAATGTAACAGTTAGCGTCAAATACAAAACTAATCATTTGGTAAGTTATTGATTAGGAAGTTTTTTTAGCTGACTTTGGGAACAATAAACATTTTATAAAATTATCTATTGGGGAAAATAGATAATAGTCTGACAAATTTTGTAATAAGCAAAATGAGCACAGCTTACAAGCTCATCCTTATAATAATTATCAAGTATATGACATTTTCGAAGTATGTAAAATAAAGTGTCACATGTCCTAATTTTAGGGCAGAACCTGAATGCCCTCAAGTTACTGCATGTTACTTTTTTTTTTTTTCCTGAGGCTTGAATCAAGAGTTTAAATGATAAAATCTTGAATAATCTTTTATCATTTCTCCATTGAGGCGTCTTAAACTTGTGGTGTTTAGAATTAGCACATAATTGTGCTGGCTGGGGTGGTTCAGTGGATTGAGTGCTGGTCTGTGAACCAGAAGGTCACCAGTTTGATTCCTGGTCAGGGCACTTGCTGGGGTTGCAGGCCAGGTCCCCAGCTGGGGATGTGCAAGAGGCAACCAATCAATATATCTCCCACACATCGATGTTTCTCTCCCTCTCCTTGTCCCTCCCTTCCCTTCTCTCTAAAAATAAATAAAGTCTTAAAAAAGAAAGAATTAGCACATAATTAATTGTCTGATCATGTTGAGAACCTGTGTGACTCAGTCAGACCCTACTGGAGAGAAATCTGCTTAATGGAGGAAAAGGGAACTCGGCAATCACCAAATCATGATCTTCGTAGAATGGGTTTCACTGCTCTGAGAGTAGATTCATTCTTGTTTAACTATCACATTGATGCAATAGTATCCTAACTACAGGTATGTTTAGAGGAAAGAATAGTTAATATAATATCTTAGAAAATTGAGACTATTTCTTATTAGCTACCTAGA